AACCCAGAAACTTTTAGCATTGGGTAAGTCTGAGTGAGGGGGACTAAAGATAAATCTTTTGAGTGGAATCATCACCAGGGAACCACCAAACAAGAAAGATAATTACTTCTCTTTGGAAATGAGGCTTTGAAAGACCTCAAGCCATGTTTTGCTGCCTTCAAACCAGGGAATGGATGTTGTTACTTTTCAAGGCTGTGCAGAGCTGGAAAGGGGAAGAGGGGATTAAGATCAGTTAAAAGTACCACAAAACTTGTTGTCCTTCCTGAGATTCAATCTTTTTCTTACTTAAATGCTCCCTGTGTTGCTGAAAGCCTTGGTTGGTACCCAACGCTCTTGAACAATGTGGCTGTTAGGGGCACTGATCCTCCAAGCAATTGCAAATCCATGCATAACTCATAGGCAGTTCTCTATGTCCATGGTTCCCCAGTATATGCCGTTCCTCCTTATCTGAGGTACTGCACCCGTGAATTCAACCAACCTTTCATAGTGTACTACTATAGTATTTACTAGTGAAAAAAGTTTGTAGGTGAGTTGACCCGGGCAGTACCCACCCCCAATGTTCAAAGGTCAACAGTATTTCTAACATTTGGGAGCATGTATTTAACAAGTTGGTTTTAAAATTCACATGAAGAATAAACAATGAAGGGCATCTTGAAAATCCTTAGGAAGAGTAATGATATAAGAATAGCCCCACCTAGTATTAAAACATATTTTATTTAAAACAAGATTTATTTATTTATTTTCGGCCGCACTGGGTCCCTGTTGCTGCATATGGCCTTTCTCTAGTTGCGGCCAGCAGGGGCTACCCTTCACTGCAGTGCGTGACCTTCTCACGTGGTGGCTATTCCTGTCGTGGAGCATGGGCCCCAGGTGCGTGGGCTTCAGTCATGTGGCCCACAGGCTTAGTTGCTCTTTGGCATGTGTGGAATCTTCTCAGACCAAGGGTTGAACCCGTGTCCCCTGCATTGGTGGGCTTCCCTCAGATGGTAAAGAGTGTGCCTGCAATTCAGAAGACCCAGGTTCCATCACTGGGTTGGGAAGATCTGCTGAAGAAGGGGATGGCTACCCACTCCAGTATTCTTGCCTGGAGAATTCCATGGAGAGAGGAGCCTGGTGGGCTACTGTCCATACTGTCCATGGGATCACAAAGGGTTGGACTTGACTGAGTAACTAACGCTTTGACTTTCACTCTCCTTTGCATTGGCAGGTGGATTCTTAACCACAAAACCACCAGGGAAGTCCAAGACAAATTTTAAAAGTTCAAGTGTTAAAAGTGCAGTACTGGTTATAGATAAACCAATGGAACAGAAATAAGAGTCTAGAAGAGGGACCAATATGTATCATAAATTCGTGCGTAGTACCAGTGGCAGTGTGTGTCCGTGAGAAAGAGATATTAGGTATATTTACTAGCATTAGGGAAAAAAATTAACATTGTACAGGAGGTGGTGAACAAAATCATCTCAAAGAAAAAGAAATGCAAGAAGGCAAAATTGTAGTCTGATGAGGCCTTACAAATACCTGAGAAAAGAAGAGAAGTGAAAGGCAAAGGAGAAAAGGAGAGACATACCCATCTGAATGCAGAGTTCCAAAGAATAGCAAGGAGAGATAAGAAAGCCTTCCTCAGTGATCAATGCAAAGAAATAGAGGAAAACAATAGAGTGGGAAACTAGAGATCTCTCCTTGCTATTCT